AGTCATGCACTATGCTGCAGTGCTTGACAACCTGGGTCACTGAGATGAAAAGAGAAAAAGGAGAAAGAGATTAGTGTATGATTTGGGGTTGTGTATTTTCTCAAGTGGATGGTAAGGCTGCTTCTTAGTTGGTGTGAATGACTATGATGTTCTCAGAATCACAAGTGATTTGTAGGGAATGATATAAGAAAATACAGTGTCCCTTCCTAAAAAAATAAGATTTTAAAGAGTTGATAAAAGAGGTGCTTATATCAAACTTGTCACCTCCCTGAGCATAGGTGCCTATGTGGTTGGGGTGGGGGGTCACAGTTGGAGGATGCCAGCCTGAATTACAATTCTTTCATTAGTTAGCAACCACTGAGAGGGGAGGGACCAGATCTGATTAAGGTGGCAGTGTTCCTCCATTCTAATGGCAAGCACAGCCTGTTTCCAGGGAAACCTGAGAAGGACTTCAGTTAAAATGCAACCAGGGGATAAATACCAATGCTGACTCCAGTGACCTGCTGAGTAATGAGCTATGCTTCATCACTTGCTTTAGACAGCCAACACCTACCGTGGAACACATGCAGCCGGGTCTCTAGGTTAGAGAAGGAAGAGCACTTGAACAATTATGGCTGTGGTCTTTTATAACGTCAGAGAAATCTATATAGTATAAAATAAAGAATCAGAAAGGTTACATACTCGGGAAAATTTCTTCAGGCAATTAAATAATCCATCTGTGTTGATTATTTTGAGGTTGTCTTTATATAGATTTACATCATGGAAATGACTTCTACGATTTGTCTTGGTTACTCTCACATTTCACCAGTGATTTTATTTATTCAAGAATCTATTATTTGTGTTATCTAGATGAAGAAGTTGAGGTTCTATGAAAGAAAGCTACTTCTATGATGACCAAATTTAGTAGGTGAGGTGCAGAGAGGAAAAGTGGTTTTACTAGCTGAGGAGAACCTAGGTACCAGACCAGACATGGTTTTAAATGATTTGTATATTATTATTTCTTAGTCAGAATTCAACTAAAAGTGGCCATACACCATATTCTAGCTAATTAAAGCAACAAAAGACTTCACATTTTGAAAGTTAGAAGGCAGAACTTCACTGTAGCATCTTTGAGCTCTGCCTTCTGTGTTGTGACCTCTCCAAGGGAGTTTCTGTTATAGTAGCTGGAAAGACTCTAGCACAGTCATGCAGGAGAATTTAATACCCTGATAAAATAGACTCATGCTGTAGCCCAGAGCCCTGATTGTTTATTTGTCCACTCCTCAGATGCTATTATAAGATACTTTTCATGGAGCTGGTGAAGAACAGAGGCATCTTTTACTAAGTAGACTGAGAATGGGAGAGGTATTTGAAAAAGCTGCCTGTTGATAGGAATACAAGAAGGGAAAATGATAAGCTGTAGAGTCCAGCATCTACTGCAAAAGTATGGTTAGACTCTGTTTACACAGAAGCCAAGTGAAGCTGCAGAAAAAAAAGGTGGTATACTGTTTCACTCTAAGTCTATCGTGATCACGAGTCTTCTCCGAAGAAAAAAAGCCATAGAGATGATTTATAATAGTGCACACTTCCAAAGAAAACCACTCTGAGAACCCTGAAAGAAAGATCTCTGATAACCACATTTTCTTCAGATGAAATGGTACAGAGATGACTTTATGTGTGTGTCACTACGAGGGAACTTTATGACTGTTCTGGAATGTATATCTTACGATGACTAACATTTTAATGTGAACACACGACTTAAAAAACCATAAATTCTAGACTCCACACTAGAGTATTATGTCTAGTTTTCTTTTCATGTCTTCTGACTGACTCAGAGGAGACCTTTGATAATTATTTTTACCAAGTCAATTAGTTCAAATGGATGGCAGGTAACCCACATGTACTTTATTATATAGTGAGTTATTCAGCCTAAGATACTTTAAAAATATTTTCCATGTTCACCATACCAGATACATTTTTAAAAATCTAAAATGAGAAAAGCAAAAGGCTTTTCTACTTTTTACTATGAGTGAGTCAAATGCATGGTCTTCAGCATATTTTATCAGCTACTGGATGAAAGCTCTAGGATGAAATTTAAGGTAGTCATCAATCTCATTATTTCGGAAGCCTCTCCATTATAGCTTAGATTGTTAGTTAGGGTCCCTCCCTACAGGGGAATTGCTGGATCTTGAGGTAGACTGATGTCCATTTACCTGAGGAACTGCCATACTGATTTCCAAAGTGGCTATACAAGTTTACACTCCCACCAGCAGTGGAGAAGTGTTCCCCTTTCTCCACATCCTCTCCAGCATAAGCTATCATTGGTGTTTTCGATTTTAGCCATTCTGACAGGAGTAAGATGGTATCTCAGAGTTATTTTGCTTTTCATTTCTCTGATGGCTAAGGATTGTTGAGCACTTTCTTATGTGTCTTCCAGCCCTTTTATATTCCCTTATTGAGAAATCTCTATTTAGTTCTATAACCCACTTTTTAATTGGATTGATTGGTGCTTTGGTGACTAGCTTCTTGAGTTCTTTGTATATTTTGGAAATCAACCCTCTGTCAGATGTGGGGTTGGTGAAGATCTATTAACATTCTTCGGGCTGCCACTTTGTCTTGCTGACTGTGTTCTTTGCCTTACAGAAGCTTCTCAGTTTGAGTAGGTCCCATTTACTAATTGTAGATCTTCGTGTCTGTGCTACTGGTATTTTGTTCAGAAAGTGGTCCCCTGTACCAATTTGTTTGAGGGTACCACCTGCTTTCTCTTCTAAGAGTTTCAATGTGCCTGGTTTTATGTTGAGGTCTTTGATCCATTTGACCCTAAGTTTTATGCATGGTGATAGATATGGATCTATCTCCAGTCTTCTACATGCCAGCATCCAGTTATGCCAGGAACATTTGTTGAAGATGCCTTCTTTTTTCCATTGTATAATTTTACCTTTTTTGTCCTAAATCAGGTGTCCATACATGTATGGATCCATATCAGGGTTTTCAATTAGATTCCATTGGTCTACCTGTCTATTTTTGTGCCAATACCAAGTTGTTTTTAGGACTATGGCTCTATAATAGAGTTTGAAGTCAGGGATGGTTATGTCAGGACATTCCTTTATTGTATAGGGTTGTCTTGGCTATCGTGGGTCTTTTTTTTTTTTTCATATAAAGTTGAGAATTGTTCTCTCAAAGTCTTTGAAGAATTGTGCTGGATTTTGGTGGGGATTGCATTGAATATGTAGATTGCTTTTGACAAGATTACCATTTTTACAATGGTGATCCTACCTATCCAAGAGCATGGGAGATCTTTCCATTTTCTGGAATCTTCTTTAATTTCTTTCTTTAAAGACTCAAAGTTCTTGCTCTACAGGTCTTTCACTTGTTTGGTTAGCATTACCCAAGGTATTTTATATTGTTTTTGGCTATTGTAAATGGTGATGTTTCTCTGATTTATTTCTTCTGTATAAGGGCTACTTTCTTTGCTAAAAGTGTTTATCAGCTGTAGGAGTTCCCTTGTGGAATTTTTCTGGTCTTTTATGTAAAATATCATATTATCTGCAAATAATGAAAGTTTGACTTCTTCTTTTCCAATTTGTATCCCCTTGACCTCCTTTAGTTGTCCGATTGCTCTAGCTAGAATTTCAAGTACAATATTGAAGAGGTATGGAGAGAGTGAACAGCCTTGTCTTGTTCCTGATTTTAGAGGAATCACTGACAGCCAGTTTTAGATGCTAAGGTTTATAATTTGTAGTATCAATACCTAAATGATTCTTAGCTAGACAATTCTGTATGGTTTACTTGTGCATAATTTGTTGTTGATGGTGGATAAGTATAAATTATAAGTTCATAGTCCCAAATGAGAATATTTATAATTTGACATTATCATCTAGCTTATGAATTATTTTAAGAGAAACTTATTTTTCATATTCTCATTGTTAAATATCAACTAGTTTTCTTAAATCTAATGTTCATGTAGTTGGTAAAGTAAAATTATTGTATGCATAAAAGTGACTACATGACTTTGAAATTATCTAATTTATATATCTCATCCTAAAACCATTTTCTGTAGTGTTATTATTCAATATGGCCAGAAGCTACAAGAACATTTTTATTTTATTTTACTTTATTTTCCAATTTTTGTTTAAATTAGAAACAAGATTGTTTTACATGTCAATCCCAGTTCCCTCTCCCTCTCCTCCTACCCTGCCCCCCACTAACAACCTACCTATCCCATACCCTTTCAAACATTTTTATTTTACATTACTTTGGACTATGTAATTTTAAAAAATTCCCTATATTTTAAGAACATCCAAAAATCATTGCCAAAGCATAAGTAAAATTGTATCTATGTGATTAGTCTATAAATAGTATGCATACCTGAACTAAACCAGATTATTTATGTTTCTCATTTATATTTCTTATTTCAACTTTACACTGTATTGGAAATGAGATATTTTACGCTATCTAAACACAAAATAATAGATCAAATGTCTATTGTCCAGTAATAGGATCTTTATGCTCTTATGATAGCAAACCATTTCTACTACAACTTCCTTAGATGGTGAAATCAATACAGGTTAAATGTTAACAGAATGATAGGAGTGTCACTCAACAATGATATCTTGGAGACATAAGGAATGTTTTAACGACCAAATTTAATTTTTCCTGTTATATTTCAAGAATATGCACTTGACTCTCAAATTCTTTTACAGAATTATTTTATTTATAATTGTGCACACACATGTATTTGCACAATCTCCTGACTCATACTATTGACTTAAGACATGAATATCCTTCTTTGATAGCTATGATTCAACACTAGGCAAAATGTAAAATAGAAAACTGACATATTTTCCTTTTAGTTGTATATCTTCTCAATTTAAACATATGGGAGTAGACATAAATTCAATGTGTTATAAATAGTAATTGCTTAACATTTGGTCTATTTGAGGACTGAGCTCTTCTATTAACAACACTCTGAGTCTTCAGGAAGAATTCTGGCAGCATCTGCTTGTTTCTCTCCCATCTAGATCGTGGCACTGTGCAGAAGGTGGTAGTCCTTCCTAGCAACAGCTCTGCCAGCGGGGAGCTCATTCTGGAGGAGCTGCAAGTCTTTAAGGTTTGCCTATTACTTCTATTCATCTCAACACATGCTTGATAGCATCATTCCTTTACTCCTCTAGCCAGTAAAAATATCTAATAAAAGACTAAATAAACAACTGTAGTAAATTTTAATAGTAGAAAAGCATCAGATAAAAGGAGAAATAGAGAACAAATATTTTTGTGAAGTATATTCTTGTATTTCAAGTTATCTTAACATAAAAGGCTTACATTTTTTCCAGCTATCATCACAATTCAAAGAAATCATTATTTTTTAAAAATGAGCCTCCATGGCCAAGGTCTAAATGAGTTTGTCATGAACAGGGTTTTATCATTCCCTTCACAAACCACTGTAACCCGAATGCCTTCACATTACTGATTGTAGATAAGCTTCTTCATATTTTTACATCCAGTCATTTCAAGAAAAACTGCTGTTGTTTGATTGTTTTCCATTCACATGTCACTCTGGTTAAAAAAAAAAAAAGTTTCTTCTAAGCACTTAGAGCCTTGTGTTCTGTACTTACTTGAGATTTCACTGTATTTGTCTCCTTGAATTTGGTGAAAGGAAGGAAGGAAAGAAAGAAAGAAAAAAAGAAAGAAAGAAAGAAAGAAAGAAAGAAAGAAAGAAAAGAAAGGAAAGAAAGAAAAGAAAGAGACAGAGGAAGGGGGAGAGAGAGAAGGAAAGGAATAGAGTGAAAGAAAGAAAAAAGATAAAGAAAGGAAGAAAGAAATAAATAAAGGAAGGAAGGAAGAAAGAAGGAAAGAAAGGAAGGAAGGAAGGAAGAAAAGTCCAAGAAAATGAAAGCAAAAAGTATACACAGAGAATTTCACTTCTCTAAAATCTTGCCAGTCAGGACACAGACTCAGAAGTCCTTTACTTCTTTTTACATTTAGACAGAGTCAGTCACTCTAGTCTGTCCTCCAGCTTGGGACCTGTCTTCCTCAGTTTCCCAAGTGCTGGAATTACAGACTGAGGCCATCAAGCTCAGCTGCCATTTCTTTAAGTTTCTGAGAACCAGCAGAACTGGTTCAGTAGTCCTGCCTTGCTGGTTTCCTCTTAACATGATCATTGCTTCAGTACCAGGGTCCTTCTTACCTGCATTTGGAAACTAAGGGGAAACACCACAAAAGAATTCCAAGGAAACTTAGACTTGGTTTTAATTCTTCCATAGACCATTATTTATGGCTAAACTAATTAAGACACAATCGTTCCTGCAGCACAGAGCCTGCCACTGACTGAGGATTTTTACTCGTGGCGCTCAGAACTCCCAGAAGCAGAGCATCTCTGGTCCACTTGGCTGTCTCACTTAGCTGACTTGCCTTGGAACATTTCGTCTCATTAAGATCATTATTGTGGTTACTAAGACCATTGGTTTCATAAGCATTTAACTGCTTAAGATACAATACTGTTAGATTTAGTGATTTTACAATGAAAGAATGTAACAAAGAGTGGAGTCTAATATAAGCTAGAGGCACACTATCCACTTTCCAGTATGTTATTAAATTCATCACTTTAAATACTTGACTCTAATTTGTACAAGGTTCTTTGTGACTAGCACATTAAAATTATGCCCCCAAAGTAAATGTTAAGTGCATCTATCCCAGCAGGCTTTGCTTAGTGTTGTAAGGAAGTTAAATGTTTCACAGCATTAACTAAAATTGTGCTACATATTATGCTTATCTTTTCTCATGCAACCAACTAGGAACAAGTTGGTGATTCCTGAAGATAACAAAAAATTATATAGTACAAACACTTCATTTTTAATACTGGAGTATCTTTTGGGTTGTCAGGAAATGCTTAATGAAGAGGGTTTGACACAAGTCTAAACATACATGCTCTGTAAAAGCTGGAAAGACATGTGCATTATTCTGGTCAAGTGAGAACTATCTATGTATGGGCTGTTACATGACTTGCTTTGTTGTTATCATCAAGGACATGAAACTCTCAGTGGAAATACACAGCCACAATGATGTGGAGACATAATTCTAAAAGGTGTTTGAGCTTCCTTACTGCTGCCTGTGTGGTTTGATGATGAGCAGAGTCAAAAGACCCTCTGGGCAAATGCAGTAACTGTCTTTGGCATTTGTTTTTGTCACACTTTTGAGGTGAGGTAAAAGTAATTGGGTGTGCATGATTTATTGTGAAGGTCATGTGAGGATATAATGGATTTAAGTAGGAAAGATGTCCTTAATTACATGTCATCTGGAGACATACTCGAGAAATATTAGTGTAGCTGAAAAGAATATGCAGAGTTATTACACAGCATAGAATCCTAATCTCTTCTTTTAATCCTACATTCATGTTTTCTAAAGGTGTCTAGTTTTTGTAAGCTTAAAGTGAACTGAGATCCAACTTTGGTAGGTAATTTGGTGGCTGGAAAGTGTCATATCTGTTACACACATATGTATGTTTATTAATAAAAGATAATAAAATTATGGGAACCAAGAGTTAGTGATATCACCATTTCTTCATCTTGAAAGTTTACAAATCTAGGGGATCTAAAAAAAAACTATAATGGTGGGAATAGCTTAACTTGAGGGGCTTGCTCCTGCTTAAATTATTTAAGTCTTCATGAATCATCATCAGGTTATCAGAAATATAACTTTAAGTTTAAAACTAATTGATAATATTTAGGAAGTAGAGTAATCAAATGGCTTTCAGAAGGACTACTATTGCAGGGAATTCTGTCACACAAAAAAGACCATTTCTGATTATGTATGTCTTTGTTTTACCAGTGGGAACTCTAAAGTTTAGTCTATTACATTTCGTAAACAACCTTTGTCATGACTCCTGCAGACTGTTTGTGTTGTGAAGTTTCCCCTATCAAACCCCCTAACTTCACACCCAGTTCCAACCCTCAACTCAATGTTCCAAATAATTCTTTCAGTCATCTCACTTGTCAATGCATTTTAACACCTCTTGTGATAAGTGTGTGGTAAAGGTACTGCTTTCAAGTTTAAGCACATGTCACACAGCAAGTCTAGTCTTAGTCCCAAAGAAGGAAGGCACTTTACAGAGAGATTATGAACTGAGAGACTACCATGACATTTTGAATTTTTATACAAAGCTTCAATTTTTACATTCAAAACTGCTCTTGAGATCATATGATGAGAATCATTGCAAAATCTGTTGCTCTCTCTCTTTTTCAAATATAATGTGCAGTAAAGAACCCATCATCCCTATAGATAGATAGATAGATAGATAGATAAATAAGCAAATACACAAAAACTGATAAAATAGTGTCAACACTGTGTATGGGGGTAACCAACTCATCTCTTAACTAAATTTGAAGCCTGTCCCATGGTGGCGATTTGACATCTGGAACTTTTAACATTGTATATGTACATATGCTGTGTGTGTGTGTGTGTGTGTGTGTGTGTGTGTGTGTGTATTTATATTGTGAATTGTAAAATCACAATTGTAAAACCTTACAATCAGGAAAATATGTTTTTAACTTCTGAAAAACTAGTTTTACTATTGATAATAATATAGAATCTTCTCTACTTTGATATAGACCTCACTATCTATTAGTGAAAATGAAGTAGTTTTGTTTTGCATAAAAGCTAATTAGTGCAGACTAAATAAGCAGAAACGCATTTCAGTGTCTTGTGTTTTCCGTACCCTCAACTTTTATGGCACCTGAGGTCCAGTATAATAAAAATCAACATTTAACTAAGCATCATGTTTGGGCTACTGTAAAATCAAAGTTTTCCCATCCACCCACTTCTGCTTCCTCCCACTGTTATATCTTTGAAATAATCATGCAATGTTATTTCCTAGGATTTATATAAGTCTACAAAACCCTTAATTTGCGCTATCCACAGTTTTTGGATTTGAGATAGGACTGAGTGTTGGTAGTCATCAAAAACTAGCTAATCTAAGTTTCCTGAAACATGAACATGAGCAGGAGATAGTAATCCTAATTCTTTTCTGTCTATGATGCGCCCTTCTCTGAGTATCAAAGGCATTATCTTAAACCAAAGTCCTAAGAGCTGCCTCCCTAGAGTCAGATTGAGTCAGCGCTAGCTGTATCTGAATCCCCACATGACTATAAATTACAGGCAAGTTGTTTAACTTCCCTGACCTAAGTTTCTAGTCCACAAAGCATTGCCTTTCTCACACATGATGTATGTAAATTGCCTAGGATAAAATGGCACTAGCTAGCACTCTCTGTAAGAACCTTGGATTCTATTTTTCTTGGAACTGAGACCAAAGACTTTAGATGCTTCTACAACTGATTTTATAATTGCAGTGCTCTTTGCCATATCAAATGTATTAGATAGACATGATGTGGTTCCATAGTCAGTCTTGTGCTCTTTGCACTTGACCAAATTTTATGAGCACAAATAAATATGACATAATGGAGTTAAAGATCTCATCTGTAAAAATGTTTGCATGGAACATAGCAAACATTTTCCCAAGTATCATGAAGTCATTTGTCATTTTGCTAATGTCCAACGGAGCTGATCTCAAGTCAGAATTGTCTTTGAAGTCAGCAGGGAATCTTTTGTTTACAATGGCTTAATGGGAAGGGACAATATAGAAGCAAGATTCAAAATCTTCACCGTCATTTTTGTGTCATGGTGGTCATATATAAAATGTATGTCTAACATATTTATAGATCATTTGTTATGTTGGTTTTTGACATCTTACACTACAGATAGTTTAATGTTTCAGGAAAGCAAAGAGCTTCACAGCCAGTGTAGTGACTTGATTTTCTGAAACTCCCTGGCTTCACTAAACACTATACTACTTCCTGAGGTAGTAAGATTACATTCTGCAAAGGTGTTTAAATATCTTGAATTTGATACCTCCCCTAGTACTCAATTACTTAATCTTATACTTCTTACATATTTTTTCCTTTCAACATTCTCTTGTAACCAATTACAAAAATATTGACATTACTAAAAACATAAAGTTTATAGAATAAATCTCCATGTTTTGTCTTTTACTCAAAATGGTGTTCTTAAAAATATTTTTAATTAAATGGACACTGTCATTTGCCTGTTGCCTTTAGATATATTTATTATTCAATAAACACCAGGAACTGAACTTAGAGGCCTCCTGAATACCTGGCATGTTCTTCCACTGAGTACATCCCTAGCTTCACTAGGCTGTCTCACTAGCCCAAATGTAAGGAAACTTGCTATGCAAACATGTGGACCTGTGTTTGCACCACAGCATCCGTGTTAAATAACAACAGGCAGCCATGAGCATTATTGTACTATAGAGGAAAGATGAACGTGGCTGTGGCTTGCTAGGTGCCAGTGCATCTCCGGGATCAGTACTTACTTAAAGGAATATGACAGAGTAGGATAGAGCCAAATTCCCAGTGTCCTTCTCTGACCTATCCATGAGTACATAGGCGCGCGCGCGCGCGCGCGCACACACACACACACACACACACACACACACACACACAGATGTGCATGTCAGCATACAAGCCCCAAAACACACTCACATATATAAAATACAATACCCAGTGTCCTCCTCTGGCTTCTGCATGAGGACACACACACACACACACACACACACACACACACACACACACACACACACACACACACACACACACGCATGTGTCACATACAGACACATACAAGTCCAAATAGACACTTATATATAAAAATAAGCATTGGAAATTTTTTTAATTCTCTTAAAAATAGCTTTAATAAGTCTGTGTCACTTTCAAAGACATGTATTCAACCGTTTTTCCCTTTGATTATGACTGATTATCTAGTACTTTGTCTTCTAAACAAAGTATCTTCTGTTTCAAAATTGACTTCTGCTGCTGGACTTGAAATATATGAAAGCTTCCTTGTGATTTGCTGAGCAACAGAAGTCAAAGGAAAAAGAAAACATCATAATTTAAATTTGCAACATATTAGCTCAGTTCTGAGAGGACAATGGGTCCCAATGTTTAAGACAGATTACCATTCTATATGGTGCACTGAGAGGTGTTGTTTTTAGTAGAAAGTGGTAATGTTATAGGCATATTAACGATAGGAAAATTCTATTTATTTTGGCATTCTACCCTCTTTACTTCTTGTTTTGAGTCTGTTTCTAAATGAATCCATGGGTTTGTGGCCTTATGTTATGTGTTCCTACTGAACGTGTTTTAACTTCCACATCTGAAATAAATCGCCATAATTCCTCTTATAGCAACAGTTGTATGTGAGCTCCAATGAAGGGGTTTCCCAAGTGTCTCTGCATCGCTGCCACATCTATGGCACAGCTTGTGCGGACTGCTGCCTGGCGAGGGACCCATACTGTGCCTGGGATGGTCACTCTTGCTCCAGGTTCTTCCCCACTGGGAAGCGGTGAGTACCAAGCATTCATGAGAAATCCAAATGGACTTCACAGAGCAGTTCAGATGTGGATCCGCAGTGTGGCTGCTCTCATCTCAAAAGACAATGCCATGATTAGCACTACATGCTTCCTTTTGGTGAAGAAGATGTCATACTTCATTTGATGTTTTGTTTTCTTCTTCTTCATGAAAAACTTAGGCTTCCAGACCCATCAATGCACGAAGCAGCATTTAACTCTGTTTTCAACTTAGCTAATGTGTGGCTCTGTAGCCTTAAATACCACACTGCTAGGTGTGGCTACTTGATTAATTATAACAAAGAGTTTTGGTCCTTCATATAATTAATAAAAGGAGATGAATTTCAAAAGTTAGTATTTTGAATAGAACTACCTGTGTCATTCTTGCCAGAAGACCATTATTTTATGAAAGATACCCACCTGGCTTGCTTTCAGAACATAGCTGGACATGCTTCTTCCTGCTTGCAATTGAAAGCATGATTGCTGGATAGATAAGCAGTCTAAGTAACATCCCAGAAATATTCAAAGCAAGTTGAAAGGCATTTGCAGTGGAAAAACTACCGAGACAGTAAATAATATGCAGAACTCAGAGTTAGTTGAGCTCCTAGATATTTGCAATGACTTTTGCAATATAGGTTATGATGAATGAGAGCACCAAAACCTCTTAAAAATTAGTGTCAGGAGAGAAAGCAAAAGACTCCAGTCTTAAGAAACAATGTACTGTCCAGGGAAGCCTTGGATGATTTTTTAAAAATTGCTTTTATTACATTATATGTATATAATATATTAGCTTGTTTCATGTTATATTTGTCAATTTTATATATTTTGATCATCTTCTCCTCCTCCTCTAAGTCTATCCAGATCTTCCTCTCCCTACCTACCCAAATTTAAGTTCTTTCTCAAAAAAAACCTCATTACAAAAATAAAACCCCCAAATCAAGAAAATAAAATAAAACCATGCCTAAAAAAGAAACAAACAAATATTGTAACCAAATTAAGGCACACACAAAAAACTTTGGATCTCAATGTAGATGTGTTTTAAGCTTTACTAGATCCATGCCACTGCATTTTCGTATGTCAATCTTGACCCTTTTGTCTGTTAATTCAACAAATATTTATCTTGAAACAAGAATTTTTCAGGCATTGTGGTTAAAAAACAGGTATAAAATATGAAAGACAACAACAAAACACAAAAACCTGTGTTTGGGTATAAAATGGTCTGATGAGAGAAGACAATGCACAAAGACGCCCATAATCATGTCAAACAATCATGAGGTTTCTGGGTGTGAAAGGGAAAAGAAGGTCATGACACATGGGAAACAGTTTTTGAAAGATTGAACCCATGGTCAGAGAGGGCCATAGTGGGGACAGAAGAGTGAACCAGGCGAAAATGTAAAATGGGTAGTACCAAAACATCCTCTGGGGAAATAACACTCTAGAAGTATGCCACGGAACAGTCAAGAGACAATGCTGAAGCTCATGCTGGCACTTAGTAGCCTGTGACAGGAGAAGGAAGGCTAGAACGAAAGAAGCTTCCAATGTCAGGTTAGGTAGGAATTTATCAGTAATTTATCAGCATTCCATCCTTCTGTTTAGAATGGAAGTCACCTGATTCTTGGTCCTAAAAGGTCACTAGCTGGGGTTGCTTTCATTGGAGCATTAGCATTGGAAGTAGTTGGAAAAGAATAGGAAGACAAAGGATGCAGAACGGGGTTATAATCTAGGCCGTATAGAGGAGTGGTCAAATACTCTGTGAAAGTACTCGGCATGGGAGCTTAGAGAACTAAGGAGTAAAAAATCCCCATGTTTCTTAAAACCAGAGTACTAAAACATGGAGGCATCATTGCCTGAAAGGGAACCCTATGGAAGGAGCACTTGTGAGGGAGAAAGATTAAACCAAGCCATGTTTATGGGACATTACAGCCAGGGTTCTGAGCAGAGAAAGAAATGTGAATCCAGAGTAGAGCGGAGTGGCCTGGACTGGATCCCCTTCTTCACAATCTTTGAACCGGGAGTCTTGCATCTGTGCTCAGAGACCCAGGATCCTCCCTCATTTGTCATAGGAGTTGGGCAGGCTCTCCTTCACTCATGTCAATTCCCCTTCTTTTCAGATGTTCATTCCCTTGCAATTCTTTCTATTTGTATTGGCTGAAGAGACCAGAACCTGGATACACAATGACTGTGAGGGATGCAAATTTCAAACAAGATCTCGAGTGAATTTTCTTTTTGCAGCATTAGATTTTTCAAAGTATTTGTCATATAGCTCTAAATATAATAAAAGTAGTGTTTGAAAATGTTCCCACAGCTAAATATTTGCCTGGCAATACATTTTTTTTCCTGGTAAAAGTTCTAGAGCTAAGTATGGCATTTCCAGTACCAGGGTTAGAGTCCTTGGTGTTTTAACCAGATGCTTTCTAAAGACAAAATTGAACACAAATTGTACATCACCACATCCGACAGATAAATCAGTCCTTGTTTGTAATACGAAAGAATGGAAGGGTAGAACCCCTTCCTTGCAAAGGCTTTGTCTTAGACCTTCAGGAATTTTTAATTTCCAAACAATAATGCTTCTCAAGTAAAATTTCATTCCATGTGTGGAGAACCATTGCATATGTTTCATTTCACATTTTCGAGGTCTTAAAGCATGTCCACACAGTGCCTCACCTATTACAAATCCAGTTACACTTTTAAGATTCATACTGAAACATGGATTACACATTACTATTAGACTACCACAAACTATGAAATTAGTCATGGCTCTTTATGTACAAAGTACTGCTGGTATCTAGCATTTGTTCCATCTTCCAATACCATGCCTAGTATTAAAACATGCATTCTGGGCTGAGGAGCAAAGCATCAATGATTTAAATAACTGAGTATCTTTACCAGTGTCTTAATTCTACCACAAAGACTTACACACACACACACACGGAGAAAGAGAGAGAGAGAGAGGGAGAGAGAGAGAGAGAGAGAGAGAGAGAGAGAGAGAGAGAGAGAGTATGAGCTTATCACATATTCTTTTTTGGTTAGTGAATAGAAGTTTCATTAAAAATATCTATCCTGTTTAAATATTCCAAATTATTTCCAACTCAAACATCATGTGGTGAATGTAACCTGCGTTTGCAGAATGAATTAACCCAGCTTTGCTAATTTACTTTCTATAGTGACTAAAAGGAAGTGATAGAAAAGACTTTTTGCAATATTTTCTACATTCACTATTTTACTAGTATTATCTGCCTTTGTTATCTTTAGATTATCTTTCTGTATCAAATACTACATAGATGAATTCATTGTAATTAAAGCAAAAATAAACCATTTGCATAGAAGCAAAGAGGCAGTCATAGCCATAAAACAGTAAAATACATACATACCAAAACATTAAATCTTGACTTGATATTTCATTTTTAATAACTTGTTTATAATAAGCACTATGCACTTTTTCTCATCACTTTGAAGTATCTTATCTATTTGTGTGTATCGATGCTAATGTTATTTATCCTGAATTCAGGCATATAGCTGGAAAATGCAAGATGGGATAATCAGTTCAATCTTTACAAATATCTTTTCTGTGAAACTAAAAAATGATTTCATTGTTTATCCAAAGGAATTTAGAATAATGATGAAACATCAGCAAAGTCAGCCAAAGCCAAATCCTATGTGTAATGTAATATCCCGCTGCCTACCAGCATGATTCTGCTATGCTCCAGGAATGCATTCAAGGAAACTGACATGTACTAAAGGCTCTCGCTGATCTCATCATTTAAAAAGAGCCATAACAAGGTTTTTTATTTGGATGTCTGGAAGCTGATGTAGCAAGTTCACTTTCCCTCGCTTGAGAGAATATATACTGTGCACAAGTAACACCCTATAGTACTGACTACAGGACAATAAATTTAGGCGCTGTGAATGACACTATATATCTAGAGGGCTGGAAATGGCCAGCTCAACCCTAAGAACACTCACAAAGGTTGTTTTAGTATACATTCCCAGAATCAACAGTAGTAAAATATGCAAATGCTTGGCAGTAAAAGTGGACATGGAGCTGGTCCAGAAAGGACACTGATCCTATTTCCTTACGTGAGAGTGACTGGTACTTCCACTGCTGTGTGTGTGTGTGTGTGTGTGTGTGTGTGTGTGTGTGTGTGATACTATACACATATGTAATTGAGTGGTACAATTTATATACTAATATCTCTATAAATATATTTATTGTTAGCATAAAGTATTAACCACTTCTGATACTTCTTAAATGAAGTTTTAAGTCATGAGTGACTTTGAGATTGATATTTTTTATGTTTAATAATCATGGTGTGTATTTAATACAATTAAATGGTATTATCATTCATAAATCATATATCGCTGTATGTTCCCAATATTTAAAGTCAGTGTCCATATGGCTTTCAGGGGTGGCTGTATGTATCCAAAAGACTGCTGTCTTTTGGTTCACTTCTATCCTTTATGAAGTCAAAATTAAGAGCCCACATAAACCTGAAACTCAAGAAGTAAAATAATTAATGAACAAATACCATAATGTTTTATGTAACTAATTTTCAATTCACAAAGGTTGAAACACATTTTTGAAATGCTGTTTCCATTAGTATGTCCAAGCAAAGAATCTATTTGACTTGGGAATGACTAAACCTTAAAGAGTCTTCTTAGAAGTATCTTGCAGAATGGAGAAAATATTTTATCCCATATACTCATTGGTGTTATTAAATAAATATTAATATCTTTAGCATGTTAATATTGTTGTCTACAGGGTAAGATTTTATGTATGTCTCATTTCTAAAGGTTTTCTACTATATCTATATAACAGCAAATATGTTATTATGCTATATTATGTATATGCACTTTCATGAGAGAAAATATAAGAAATATAGAAAAAGTGTGCATATGAACATTCTAGAATTCACTGTACACATATACCCATTTTTGAAAATCTAAATATCTTTTAAGTAAAGGTTACTTTTCTTTGTATTCAGGAAGCCCATTTATGTTTCAAAGGGTTTAGAGCAACTACAGGGTACTGACTTTTAAACAAATGTCTGTTTATTATAATAAAAGAAAAGAAAATGCTGTTGAGTTTACCATTTACCAATTTTCATTTTAGTGCATTTTGGATATGACATATAGAGAGGGACTGACTTGATCTAGAGAAAGGATGGATCCCACCTGTCACTCAGGCACCATGAATGGACAGACAGCTTCGAGAGATAATGAAACTTCTTCTATTTGCTTTCTAAATTAAATCTTGGGCAATCAAAAGGCTGAAAAGTTTAAAATGGGGGTGCTTTTAAAGTAGCATAATTGTGAGAAATGCCAAATTCTTTGTTATTTTCCTGCACTTACAGGAGGAGCCGAAGACAAGATGTGAGGCACGGAAATCCACTGACGCAATGCCGAGGGTTCAATCTAAAAGGTATTAGAAATGAGCAGATCTTTATCATGGTGACCAGTGCCAACATTCTGTGTCTTATTTACTAGGTGATCTTCACTCAAATCATTCACTTAAGAATGTGTCATCATGAGCTTGCAAAGTATTTATTAGTGGTAATGAAACTTAAGTGCTATTTGTGTGACTATGGAGAATCACACAAAAACAAGTGTTCTAGAGTGTGTGGCAGTCACTGTGTGAGCATGCCGGCCTCTCCTGCAGATTTTCTTAGCTACTTATTTCTTTCTGAAGCAAAAGTTGCTTTTAAAAGTTACCAACAAGTAACACAATAAATACTATCTTACTGAAGAAAATATACATAAAATATTCATGATTTTAATTTTTTGAACCATAGACCTCTGTACTGTTCAGAACATTCACACTGTGTGACCATCTGTCAGGTATCTTAGGATGCTTACTGTCTTCCTAATTGTAACCATGGCAGCAATTAAATATTTACTCAGCATCCCCTTTTCCTTAATGCCTGCCAGTAACCAACCTACTTTCTTCAGAGTTTAGCATTCTAGACACTTTGTATGGTGGAATCACACCGGATCTGTGTGCTATGCTTGATTTTCTTCATGTTTTCAGAGTCCCTTTACTCTTTAACATGAATATGATTTTTTCCTATTTATGAAATTCACTATGTTTGTACCAAATGTTGTTTATTTACTCATCCCTTTCTAAAGTCATGTACTGCTCCCAATACTACAGATTCAGAGAATATTCCTTCAAAGATCCATTCAGAGACTCAACTGCAGGTCTGCCCTATTTTACACTTAACCCAATCCCTTTCTCTTTGTCCTGACAAAGAAATACTGTGTTCTTAAACTATTCATCGATCACTTTCTCCACCTCAAACAACTTTCTGTTGACATACCTGTTACTGAAGGAATATGATTTTAAAGATGAAACTATGTGCAAATTTTTATAAAATAAAGTTTGTAAAACTAAAAAAGAACTGAAATTAACTAACCCTAGCACTCAGGTCAATTAAGCAGCAGACCTCAAGTTCAAGATAGCTAGCATAGAGACAAAACTTATATTTACCGCCAATTTGAGTGTAGGTCTTCATCTAGTAAAGAATGACATTCTGGTTCCTAACTATGGTGTATACAGTTTCTTTTCAGTCAGGGCCCACAGCTGTTTAGGCCCAAATAAACACACAGGGACTTATACTAATTACAATCTGTTTGGCCAATGTCTTAGGCTTCTTACTATCTAGCTTTCTCTTAATTATTAACCAATTTCTATTAAATTATATATTGCCATGAGGCTATGGCTTACCTGTAATCTGGCAAATTAATCCTTCAGCATCATGGTGTCTCCCTGGTAGCTCTTTCTGCCTCTTCTTGCCAGAATTCTCCTGATCTGGTAGCCCCGCCTATATTTCCTTCCTGACTACTGGCCAAACAGTGTTTTATTCATCAACCAATAAGGGAAACATATATACAGAAGGACATCACCATCACTATGTAACTCCATGATACAATTCTGAGGTAGACTTTTGTTTTGTTGTTTCATAAATCCAATTTAGGAAATGTACCCACTTTGTCTTTTGGTATTCATGGAGCATTTTTATGGAACATTATGTCAGTTCCTGTTTATAATGCCCTGGTCACAACTGTGAGAATAGTGACACTTAGGGAATGTCAAATATCTGTGCTGACTTTGGGTCTGAGCTTTGGTTCAACTGCTTCCTTGTGATGACCTCATCCATTGTTTAAACCCTGTAATAGCACCTATTTCTATCCCTGATTTATGAATGAACATTTCTGTTCCTGTTTTAACGTCTGCCTGATTTCACTTAGTGTTTCATTTGTCATAAAAAATATTATTTAAAAGTTTAAAAATTTTATTAGAAACCAATAAAGAAGACAGAGATGGTTCAAGTAACGTATCTCATGTTACACAGGCAGTAGTGCGGATGCACCTTAGTTTATCCCACATTCCTTTTCCTCCAAAGCCTGGCTTTTCGATGATTGTATCATATTGTTTATATACCGTGCTTTCTATTTGAGCTTCTTCCATTCCACACTGAGTGTGTATTCATGGATGGCATAAACTGAGCTCCCATTTTATCCTCCTTCATATATTACACATATTATATATGCACTATGTTTTATATAGATATATAGTATAGTATATATCTTCATGACTTGTGGCCTCATTTGTGCACCTGGGAAAATCTAACTAAAAAGCTCTTATAATAATTAGACAATCAACGCTGTGACAATCCTCAGTGCAGCGTGATAAATGTGTACCAACACAACCTCAGATAACTTTTAGTGTCCCTTTTACTTTACATTTAAATGAAATATCTAAACCAGTAAATTGTACCTGCTACCATATGGTGACAACCACCATGAGCACAGTTTCAAAGAGAGAAGCAAACATTCCCACAGAGGAGTAATCTCTAAAATATGTTCTTTCTCTTTCCTCTGATTTCTGCTTTTCAGCATACAGAAATGCAGCTGAAATTGTTCAGTATGGAGTAAGAAATAACAGCACTTTCTTGGAGTGCGCCCCCAAGTCTCCGCAGGCATCTATCAAATGGCTGCTGCAGAAAGATAAAGACAGGAGGAAAGAGGTGAGTGGCCTGCCCCCACATCCCCAGCCCTCCATCAAGACTCTGGGAGGAGGACTAAATCACCATTCCTCAGGGAGGCACAGATGAAACTGCAAGTAACAACATGGAAACATCCTTTTATGTCAATGGCATGTCGTTACCATCTTCTTCAAAATCCTTTGTCCTTAGACTTGAAGGATTAATTAGAAAAGCCCTCTGCCAGCCGCCTCTGTAGCCTCAGTGTTTGTAACAAGAGCTCAAGTGCTAGGATGGAGTAGTGAGGAAGCATTTGGGAAAGAAACATGATGTGTGCAAACCCAGAAGCCAAGCCTGCATACAACAGCACCTTTGTGTGACTCACCAGATAAAAGGAGCTTTAAAAACATTCCGTTTTCCTCAGCCAGAAATTATGTTGAACTATAACCCTTTGTTGCAAGGAGCATTTTTCTGCTGTGTGGTCATGTTTCCATTGCATTAGCATTCATGACCCTTAAATGTCACTCAGGTAATTTGGGCAGTCGTTGTTTAGGAGACCACTGGATTTATTCATTATTAAGGAAAAAGACCCCTAGACTTGTGAATAAACACATTCTTACTCCAAATTTTTATTGGTTATAAAGTACTGTTTGAAAAGAGTGGCAATACAAATTGGCAAACAGTGACGTACTGTAAATACTGAATTCCACAATGTTGGTGTCACACTGTCCTGACAAGTGAGAAGGAAACTTACATGCACATACATGCAGCCCCTAATTCTAAAATGGCATGTTGCTACTGTAGCATCAGGTTTGACATTGGCAAGCAGAAATTGGATGCACCCCAGCATGCATCTGTGTGGGTTCTATTGTAGGCGGTTTTGTTTCTGTGTGGTGTTAATCAAGGAGATGCAAGTGCACATGACTGAAAGAACACAGACAAGGTATCAAAGTGACTGGGACCTTGGCTCCATGGGACAAAACACATCCAACTCTCACACTTCCCTATTCAAATGTGTTATGTCTTCTTTCCTGACTGAATTCCATGAGCCTGAAAGATTAAGTCAGAGGCTGATGTCCATTTTCCTAAGTGAAGATTCAATTGTGTGGAGGAAAGGACAGGGAAGTAGGCTTTTGTTGCTCTCCATTTTCCCTGAATCCACTGATAGTTTAGAAGTTTTGATTGGGGATCTTCCAAAGGACCCAGTTTCCTTTGATCCCCTGCCCCCACACCAGAAAGCCCACAAAGTACTTTTACTCCAGTTCCAGAGAATCCAAGTAACTCTGACCTCGGCTGCCTGTCACCTGTGGGTACATCATGCTTATTAACTCCCTCAAGATTGCACATTTTAAATCGAAATACAGTCTTTGATTTGCATTTTATTAACAATGAAATATACTTTTGTACAGAACTTCGGTAATATAAAAATATTCACGTGTATTACCTTTCATGATTTTTTGGTCCTTTTTCTGTTTTTTGAATAGTCCAAAATTATAAATGTCTGAAAACTTTTCACCACATGGATTCCCAACTTCTTCATTGATAACACAATAGCTATAATTGTAAACCAATTAATTGCAAAGCAAGTGGATCTAACATGTGTAGACAATACCCAGCAATTAGTCATTTTCTGTTATAAGCCTTACAGTTATTAAACATGGTTTTTATTATCTTGTAGAAATAAATTTTCTTGAAAGTCTTATAAGGCAATGTCCTTGCAACTTATTTTAGACATCCTATAATGTGATAATTGGATGAGACTCTTGAAAATTTTCAAAACTCTCTGTGTTGAGAACACTTATTGAAAAAAGGGATGAACCTTTGTTCATTGTTCAATGTTCATAGTCATTGTTTTCTGCTTTTACAAGTGAGTAGTTTCACAAAAATAAAAAAAAAAAAATTCCAGGGCTAAATAGATATCATGTAAGAATTTCATTAACATAAAATTGATTCCTATGACTACCAATCTTTGTGCTGTGTAAGACGAAATTACATTTCTCTGAGGGGAACTGTCTTAGAGTCACTGTTGCTGTGATGAAACACCATGACCAAAGTAACTTGGGGAGGAAAGGATTTATTTGGCTTCCACTCTCATATCTCTGTCCATCCTTTAAGGAAGTTGGGGGAGAGAACTCAAACAGGGCAGGAGCCTGGGGGCAGATGCTGGTGCAGAGGCCATGGATGGTAGCTGCTTACCGGCTTGCTCCCCTTGCCTTGTTCAGCCTATTTTCTTTCTAACCAGGGATTGTGTGTTATTTTATTTCTAAATCTCAAAAAAAGGATATGATCCAAAGGGAACCTTTCACTTTGAGGCATTTTCTTGTTTATTTACTCTTCTCTCATACAAAACTTTCTGACTGCAGTTCCACTCCCTCCATTCTTCCCAGTCACCCCTCCTACACACCCCAGGTTCATTGCTCCTGCCTTTCTCTTCAGAAAAGACAAGTCTTCCCAGTGTTATCAACTGAACATATTGTAACAAGATGCAATTAGAATAGGAACAGATCCTATATCAAAGCTGTAGGAGGCAACACAATATGAGGAAAAAGGTTCCAAGAGCAGGCAAAAATCAGAAATACCCACATTCCCACTGTTAGAAGTCCCAAAGAAACCCCAAGCAAAACAGCAACAACATATATAAAGAGGACCTAGCACAGACCCATGTAGGCTCCATGATTGCCTCGGCCTACATTCTTGTAGAACTCTAAACCAAACATGGTGCTGCCCACAGTGGACAGGGATCACCCTTGCCAATCACTAATAGGAAAATGATCTACAGCTGAATCTTATGGAGGCATCTTCTCATTTCAGACATGGGTCATCTTCTCAAATGCTCCTTTCAGATAATTCTAGCTTGTGTCAAGTTGACATAAAACTAGCTAGCACAGGAGCCCACTTCAGATTTCCTTGTGTGGATGATATCACTATCATTTTCAGTAGTTCATGAGACAAGATTGCCCATTGTTGACAAAAGAGTGCACATGTGCAGTGAAACTAATCATAATGTTAAGCATGGAAGCTCCCCAAGGCTTTTGCCTAATTGTGAAAGTCAACTAGTTTTGTATATATTGTGTGTATTATCTTAGAAATTGTAGTCTTCCATTTGGGACACTCATGGTGTTTGTCTTTTAGGTTAAGCTCAATGAGCGCATTATAGCCACTTCCCAAGGATTGCTGATTCGATCTGTTCAGGATTCAGACCAAGGGCTGTACCACTGTATCGCTACTGAGAACAGCTTCAAGCAAACCATAGCCAAGATTAACTTCAAAATTTTAGATTCAGAAATGGTGGCCGTTGTGACAGACAAGTGGTCTCCATGGACATGGGCTGGCTCTGTGAGGGCTCTACCCTTCCATCCAAAGGACATCCTGGGGGCATTCAGCCACTCTGAAATGCAGCTCATCAACCAGTACTGTAAAGACACCCGGCAGCAGCATCAGCTGGGAGAAGAAACACAGAAGATGAGGGGGGACTATGGCAAGCTGAAGGCTCTCATCAACAGCAGGAAAAGCAGGAACAGGAGGAATCAGCTTCCAGAGTCATAAATTTTCATCTGTGGGGCTTTGCTTCCAATAACAAATGCTCTATCTTCACTGGTCAACTACTGAGCAAAGTCTTGTGCTTTACCCATGAGAAGTTCCTGACACAAGCTAGAGACTCCCTCTCAAGTGTGTTCTCTGTGAACTTAAATGAGCATGCATCTTCTTGTATGATACCTACTAGCACTAGACATGTCATGGTCCTCATGGTGCATAGAAATATTTAACTTGTCCCAGATGTTATTTATATCTTAATGTGTCTTTCCTTCACCTTCAGTGCATCGACAGAAGCAGAACTATTATACCCTCGGTTGAGCGAGGGACATAAATTACTCTGTGCTTTTCCTTCTCTGCTCTAGGGGTTTAGCTTTTTAATTGTCAGTGGTTTTTATACATGACAATGAATTCCAATTTACAATTTTCACATAGTAAATGTCATATAAATGCATGTGACAGAACAGCCATCCAAAGTCTTGTAGGTTAGACAAATGGCAGGGAAGAGAGCATCCAGATGTTATTCAAAAGCAAGAGTGACTCATAAAGAGAATGTGATGAGTTCATATGCTTCTAGTGAATTATATTCTTGCTTGTTCTTTGTTTAAGATTGTAACATGTGTCATTTACTGAGATCTGCCATCAATTTTTGTTCTTTTGTTTCAGGAAGATAAAATGAATTACCTGCGCCATCCAAATGTTTGATGGGAGATGTATCAGTGAGGCATTGACATTTCTACTGTTATGTTATCATCTTCCAAACAAAAGCACTTTGTTTTTTTGGAAGTTATTTAAGTTATTATAGACTTACATATACTCTTACATTATTTAATTGATTTACTGTTTGACTTTAATTTTCTAGTCTACTTGGCAAATTAAACAAAACAAGGAGGAATCATAGTTAAAACATCCAAGTTCTCCATGCAGAGTAAAGCTATCAAAATGTTTGGATTGTTTTGTAACTAAATTTATTTTCTCCAATTTGAAAACTAGATGGATAAATGTGGAAAAATTCCCCATACTTCTTTTAATGATAGAACTTCTATTTTTAAATTTAAATTTATTTTAACACGTTTACATTTCCAGAGAAAAAGAGAAACTGTACTAAACACTATTGAAACACAGTTCTTATTAACAGTTCATAAAACAAGTAATGAAAGGGGATCTCCTCCTTTTTGAGTACTGTGAACAAAACTCCAGAAAGGAAAATCATGTGTAGGGGTGAGAGTTGGTGGTAGATTATACATTTAGCATGCACAGAAACTGGCTCAAACAGAAAAGAAGGAAGAGAGATGCGGAGGAAGGGAGGTAGGCAGGAAGGAAGGACAGACAGACAGACAGACAGACATGAAAGAAGGAAGGTTAGGAAGGAGGAAAAGAAGGAAGGGAGAGATGGAGTGGTTAAATTCATTATCAGAAGAAAAAATGTGCTTAGTTAAGTGATGGTAAATTTTAATGTTCACTTTGATATTCTAATAGGGGACCACGGTGTTGTGGGAAAAAAGAACAGTTAAAAAAAAGAGCAGAAATGTCATCTAATTTTGTTTTTAAACTATTGTTCAAATTTGTACAGTGCTACAAAAATCTGTAGTCTTCCCATATGTAAATCTTTGCATGCTTAAACATTCACATTTTACTTTTTCTTATATATGCAAAAATAGCAATGTGTTCAGATGCAATGGGAACATGATCCTCTGTATTCTTGATTAATCCATTGTATGGACAGTTAAAGTAAAATGACTTCCAAGGAACAGTACCCTTCTTCCACCTAGATTCTAACTGCCAGATGGCGATGTTAAATTCCATGCAAGTATTTGTTCTAATTGATATCTCCTGTTGTTACCATAATTATATTTTAAACACTCATTTCTTTTTTAAAAAGAATACAGAAATTACCATTCAACATAACCCTGCCCAATGTAAAATATCCATATTTGTCAAAATCATAATTAATACTTATTGAATATGGGTGACTAGTTGGTTTTATTTTGTGTTCTTGGGCAATCTGATGATTTAAGATGGTTTTAATTTGCATTGTATATAAAATTACCTAGAAATGCACTTTTCCCCCAAAGTGTACGTTTGAATAGACATAGCATGATGAAGCTGTCATTACAGTGTGATCCCCCTGTTTAGAGAAAGAAAACAAGATGTAGTTTCCACATGAAAATTTAATTAGATGTTGAAGAAATTATTTGTCTGGTAAAATAAAACATTGAATTCCCTGGAAGATGCCTTTCACTTTTCTTTTTAGTATAGTATGTATTAATGTGATAGTAACTACTGAATTATTATTATTATCATTTAAAAATATCTGGTTTTGTGAAAGCAAACCATTAAATACTTCATAATTTAAGTGGCCTTCATTCAATTCCAAACTTGAATCCATTCATTTACATCCTTCTTCTATGTATACTTACATATTGGAATATCCAAATCAATACATTTTAACCTCAATATTTTACATTTACCCATGCTTATTAAAGTGATTTATCATATATCATGTCTACAATTTTAAACAGCTATACTTTGGAAATATAAATGATTGGATCCACTCCAACTACATTTAAGTTCAGGCTCATGGTTTCACTTTGAGAAAGATGTTTTTTATTTATTTTCTCTAACTTAATATTTTCCATCAGGCCCCTCAATACTCTGCAAAGGACAGAACACTACATATATGCACATGGTCAAAATTGTTATCACATTGTCCAGTTTTGCTAGAATATAAAGAAATCCTTCATTTGTATTCCATGTCAAATTCAGTGTCAGTTATCCAGGTAGAAAGCCTGTGGTCAAAGGATTGGCAGGTAACTAACCAAGTGGAGAGGCCTGTATAAAACAAGAGGAGGAAGCCACAGATGGCTCATTTGGTACATCAGAGTGATAGGGCCACTGCAGCTTTCTCCTGCCTGCTCCTGGAAATCTATCTGAATCAGCGTGAGTGCTAGGACACAGAGACATGCTGCAACAGCTCATCCAACAAGATAATTCGGCTCTAGCTCGGTGGCCTCATGGCTTCTCAGATCTTCCTCATGTCTGAATCATAAGTTATGTTTTAAAAATAATTTACTGTGCTTTTAGAAAACTTTAATTTACTTCTGATCTTTCATGTTTCTTATCTGTTTGAAAAATTTCAGGGTTAACTGTTAACAGTTTTCAACATGTGATCAGATAACTAAAGTCAGGAGAGGCAGCCAGCTTTGCTGTGCCATGTATTTAAGTCTGTTAAATAGTCAAAGTTTAGACAAAGTCATAACCAGACCAAGTAAAACACAGTGTTTATTTAACTGGATATTCAGAGTTTTGCTGAATTCTATGCATGACAATAAAGTATTAGAAGATCATTGTGGAAAATGTTTCATTATTTTTTGTAAGAGTTTATCCACCATTCCTTCAACTGATAAAATTCTGCACATGAATCTAAACTCCTCTGCAAAAACAAAACATATCACAAGTGCATGCCAACTCATGAATTTCACCACCAATACGTTGTTCACATAGGTGACCTTGGATTTACACTCCTATTTTCTTGGTTCCACAATGATATTATCTTCAACATACAGGCATTAGGAGACAGAAGATCAAGCTTCATGATGTAACAACTGTCGTCTTTGTTCTCGTGACTCTAATGTATTTATTGATTCACCTCATAAAACTCTATATTCTAAATAGTTAGAATTGTATATTTCTCAGGGCTATTATGTTGCCATGCCTGAGTGTTCCTTATATAAAGAGGTATTAAAGAATGACATTATAACAAACACATTAAAACTGTTTATTCTAATGTAAGGTTACCTCTCTACCCAAAGAACAAAAAGAGGATAAGTTTCTATTCTTCAATTGATTTTCTTCCTTTTGAGTTATCCATGCATAAATGTCATCCAAAGAGTTTATGAGGTCAAAAGTGAATTTTTTTGCAAGGCACAATGGCTGTTTGATGGATTATTATGAAAATAAGTCACCACCATTGCTTCTCTGAATGTCATTCAATGTGCACGTGACCCATGGCAAATGACATGAAAAGACTTCTGTTTCCCTGGGTCTTGTCATAATTTCATTCTTAAAATTTAAAATGAGACAAACAAGTCGCACCTTTTAGTTTTCTTTGTATTCATTTGAGGATAAATCATAATCCTCTTTACTAACCTTTGACATCTCAGCTATTGGGGCACAGAATGTAGACTCATGAGGTAACTTGTTTTGAGGCAATAGGGACTGGCAGTTTATAGGTGTGGTATTATGCCAACAGTTTGTTTCATGGACAGGGAAGAGTGGCCACAGGAATCACAATGTAACAGAGACCCACAAACCTCAGACTGTCCTAGAAATTTCTTTAGAGGCTTATATGTATATGTGGATCTATGTATTAAATATGTATATTCACAGACAAGCCAGATTTTATTTATTAACTATTCCAGAATAAATTTCAATTTCTGCTTCCAATTTCTATTCTATCTTTTACACTTAGAAATGTTTTCAAATCCCTTCCAATAAATTACTGCATTTTCTTTTTAAATCTACTTTTGCTATTATTGTATTTGGATGGGTGTTTCTCCTGAACGTATGTATGTGAAACGTGAATATTTGACACACAAGGAGTAGAGTAGAGGACATTTGATGCCATGAAACTGGGATTACCTACAGACAGTTGTTAGCCAATCTGTGGGTGCTGGGAATCAAATCCACATTTTTTAGAAGAGCAAAGAGTTCTCTGAACAAGTGAGTTCTCTCCACAGGCCCAGCAGCTAAGGATCTTGACTTTTACACAGTCTGTCCTCTGTTATAAAGCCTCATGAAGGTTTTGTGCTTGTGATTACCCAGGTCTCCTGCAACATCAGTCTGACTTCACCCATGTAACAAATCCAAACACCTCTATGTAGTTCTTACTATAGTAGTAGTTACAGAAGCATAAGGATTGCAATCTCCTTACTAATGTCCATTGATGGAGCATTGTCTGTGACAATCTCCATGTGGAGTTCATACTGTGCACAAGTGTCTATTTCCTTCTTGGGATGTTCTGAAATACCAATAAGTAATTTGTTCCGTAAATGGCAAATTTAGTTTTGATTTGTTTAGATGTGCCTGATGCATTTAGAGGTTTGCCCTTATTTAAATGACTTAAAAAAGGTAAAGAACAAAATGTGTGGTTATAGACATTAAGCACTTTCCATCTTTAGTTGTATTCATTAGAAAACAAGCTCATTTGCTCAGTTTTGTAATTTGATTAGTAAGACACATGAGGCCATGAACTAAAAATGCCTAGGCTTTGTCTTTCTAAGTCAGTACCTGAACTTTGCAGATCTACAGTTATCATAACACAAATCACATGGTCCTGTGGTCAAGGTTAATTGAGATTATTCATGTAGAATGGGTAATAATTTCCTGATGTAAAAATAATATTTAATATCAGATAAATTTGGCCACCTTTTGAAAACCAACTCTTCTATTGAACAAACTACCTCTTAATTTTTTCACTGAATATTTATCGAGTGTTCATTAGATAGAGAACATGTCCTAAGACATGGAGGTCGTAGCAGAGAACACAGTAATAATGCCATCAGTGTGAAGCTTTCCACAAGTGGTAGAAAGTGGACAGTCAAACAAGTGTCTCATAAGTCAGGCTCAGTGCATGAAATAAAAGACAGGAAGGTACGGGGATCCTGGGTACATCAAGGGGCATTCCAGACAGAGAAGCAAACCAGTAAGGCTCTTGGTTGGAGACAATTCAAGAAGATTTAATTTAAACAAACAAAATGTGTGGTTAAGACTCATCCCACAGGTCAATCAGCAAGCCACCAAAGTCAGGTGACCACAAATGAGCAGCTTATGTTTGCTTCTAACATTACAGAAGTAAAGAAAGTGACAGTCAGGGTTTATGATCTATGGAATATACATCTGGCTCTGTTTAGAGATTCTTTGAAATGGGAAAAGAAAGAAAACAAGACATCCAACTAGGGTCTAAGACAATCAATACATTGAAGTCTCGTCTTACATCTACACACAGATATAAAGGATTGTAAAAGTCTTTTCTAGGATGCACCTTTGAAATAGAGAGAAGGGGCAAAATGCACTGATGTCCATCCCACGAGTGTTAGGAAGTTGCTCTGGGAGAAAGACCAACATCAGAAAGAGGTCAAGGGAGCTCTAGCTATGATGCTGGAACTAAGAAACACAGAAACTGTCAGGGGGATTTATTATCCCATAATATCCAGAGGAATAAACGGCTTAGATTTCACTAGGGGAAACAAAAACAGCAATGGGGCAGTATGGATGTTAATGTCTAAGACCAGCTGTGTCCCATACACAGTGGTTCTAAACCTTAGAGGCTGCAGTCCCATCCTTGGGTGACAGGCTAAAATAAACACTAGCTGAAGATCCAATGGTTGTGTCAATGCATCAACTCTCTGTAAGGACTTGTGCCTCAATACTCTATTGCCTAATCCTGATATTATTTACAGGGAAAGGATGTGTTTTGTTCCAGGATTTGGAAACAAGCTTAGTGAAAAGTTACAATGGAGTTTGTGTAAATTACCCCATTAGGGAAGAGCAACATGCTTTGTTTGGGACCTCAACCTTTGATTAAGGATCAGAGGTCAGCACCCAAATAGGGAACCTGACTGTCACTTCTCATGATGCCTCTTCTATTTCTAGAAAAATGTTCTCCAGACTCCCCTGAGATGCCTGAGTGGCATTGAGGATGGAAACTGGAGAAAAATAATCTCAATTCTTTCTCTGTAACAGAATAATTATGAACATTTGGAGAACAAAAAGCATAAGGAAGATTAATCTGAGGATGAGAAAGAACAAACGGCAGACTTATATATATATGTCTTTTGGTATTAGTTTCCATTGTCAGCAACCCCAAAACCAGGAGCTGATACCAAGGAAGATATTACAGTCTATATATAGAAAGACAGAGTAAAAGTAAATTTTTAGAAAGGTTCATCAGTGTAGAAAGTCCTAGACTTATATTTAGAAAAAAATGATGAGAGGCAAACATTTACATGAGTGATTGATTAACTGATTGTTTCCAGGCTGGAATATGTTTAGAGAAACAAGAGTCAAAGAGGTCAAGAGGTCAATGAAACTTAGTCATCACATCATGCATTTGTTTAATGAAGTTACCATGGCATCCTCTTTTAGGTTTGACAATTTGTTTGAAAACCCTCATGCACTATCTCCATTGGCCTGGTAGAAACTTCCTTTGTGGTTGGTAGCCTATGATCTATGTGTTCCTCATTTCACTCTGAAAATCAGCATATTTCACAGACTCAAGCAACAGTAATTCATGATGGTCAGCACAAGAGTCATGTAAATAATGTCTCCCTTTGTTCATGCTTCATGTAAAGACAAGCAGAATGCCCAGGGGCTCTGTCACTTCACAGTCGGCTGAACTACACACCCCAAGATTACACATGTTCTTCTGTTCACGCCCCACCTCTGTGAACCCTGGAATTGACTTCCTATGTTCCAGCATAGTGAGCTTTGCTATCTCATTATCTTTCACATCAGCAACCACTCCAAGCAGAAACTCTGACTCCCAAAAGGGCTATCTGAGGTCTGGCAACCTTAAGACCTCAAGACCAAATTATACAGAACCCACAACAGTGAAAATTATGCTAATAATAATAGTTTAACTTTGTCAACAATTCATCAGGCACACTGAAACTATTCTTTCAGTACAAATTTTGCCAACACAGCAATGTTAAATTTTGGTTAAATGAATAATTGTTGAATGCATTTGAATTCTACAGAATTTTGACAATTTTTAAGAAGAATAAGTTTTAAAAGTATGAAATGATAAGAAAGCTGATGGATTACTGGGGTTGTTGTCTATCCTGTGATCTTGTTTAGTTCTTGAGCTCAAACTTAGCATGGAGCTACTGTTACTATTTGCCTTTCACAAGTGAAGGAACAGAAAGATATTAAGAAGCTACATTAACATGAGCAGAATATGCTAAATTTTGGTGATGTGTTTCATTATGCAGAACTATTAAATGTATTCCTTGGAGACTCTGACAGTCTTAATTGCAGGTGATAGGACAGCATGTATCAATGTGGTTTGTCTAAATGAGGACTTCTGGCTTTTTCTATTTATAGAAGTTTGTCTTGGTGCATAATGATTTTATCATTTGATCTTAGGACCTCTACTGCTAATAATTTAAACATTTTCAGAATATCCTTTATCACAAGAAAATCAATAAATAATATGAAGTTTACCCCTTAGGCATTTATTTGGGAAATCTGTAAATCTGTACACATTTTAATTGAGAAATGTTTTGAGGTAAACTTAAAGGAAAGCTTTAAAATTCTTTTTAAAACATGAAGGCCAAGCAAATACATT